AAGAGGTCCTTATATGGTTTGAAACAGTCTCCTCGTCAATGGTATAAAAGGTTTGATTCTTTTATGATGTCACATGGTTTTAAGAGGTCTAAATTTGATAGCTGTGTATATATTAAATTTATTGATGGATCACCTATATACTTGTTGTTATATGTTGATGATATGTTGATTACTGCCAAGAGCAAGAAAGAAATCACTACATTGAAGAAACTGTTGAGTAGTGAGTTTGAAATGAAGGATCTTGGTGCTGCTAAGAAAATTCTAGGTATGGAGATAACAAGAGACAGAAATTCTGGTTTGTTATTTCTTAGTCAGCAAAGTTACATTAAGAAATTTCTTCATCGTGTCAACATGCATGATGCAAAGTCTGTTAGTACTCCTATTGCTCCTCATTTTAAATTATTAGCTTTACAATTTGCTAGTACGGATAAGGATTTTGAGTACATGTCAAGAGTTCCATATTCTAGTGCTGTTGGTTCTTTGATGTATGCCATGGTTTGCTCTCGTCCTGATTTATCATATGCTATGAGTTTGGTTAGTAGATACATGGCTAATCCTAGTAAAGAACATTGGAATGTTGTTCAGTGGATTTTCAGGTACCTTCGTGGCACAACAAATACTTGTTTGAAGTTTGGCAAGACTGATAAGGGATTCACTGGCTACGTGGATTTAGATTTTGCTGCCGATTTGGATAAGAGGAGATCTCTCACATGTTATATGTTCACTATTGGTGGTTGTGCTATGAGTTGGAGGGCAACATTATAGCCCGTTGTTGCCCTATCTACCACTGAAGCAGAATACATGGCTGTTGCTAAAGCATGTAAAGAATCGGTTTGGTTGAAAGGTTTATTTGCTGAGTTTTGTGGAGATGATTCTTGCATTAATTTGTTTTGTGACAGTCAAAGTGCTATATATCTCACTAAAGATCAGATGTTCCATGAGAGAACGAAGCACATTGATGTCAAATACCATTATGTTCGCGATGTTGTCGCGCAAGGTAAGCTGAAGGTATGCAAGATAAGCACACATGATAAACCTGCTGATATGTTGACAAAGCAAGTTCATGTTGCTAAGTTTGAGCTTTGCTCAAGCTTAGTTGGTATAACTGTTTAGCTCAAGAGGCTATTTGGCACCGGAAGTATTTCTTTGTTGTTTCAGGGTGAAAGTTCGTTTTATGCTACAAGAAGGAATTTGTCTAAAGGTAGAGTTTGTTGAGTTATGATCCAAATTCAGTTATGTACAAGATAAAGGCTAATTTTTGACGGAGCGAAACGAGGCCCGTCGCCGGGAGGCTTGGGCCGAATTAGGGTTTTCCATCTCTATATATACTTCAGGTAAGCCGTCGTCTTGGGATAAGAAAATTTGTAAATCCCCGACGTTTGTAACCTCACCCAATATAGTGAAGATTTGTTGGCTGGTGCCCGTGGTTTTTCCCTTCTTCCTTGAGAGGGTTTTCTACGTTAAAATCTTGTGTCTCCTGCGTTTGATCTACTGTTCTTCATCGTTTATATTGCCTATCGTTTCTAACATCTTAAGCCAACCAATGGCTACAGACAAGATCGAGGAGGACAGCCGGTAGCTCCATCGTGGCCTCCAAATTTGCGAAAGAAGTTGTCTGTAAATACATGTTTTCAAATCTACTATTAGTTTTCCTCAAAATCTTGCCTCAGTATATTCATTGAACATGCAGGAATTTTATATTGGGATGCAGTTCGCACAGCCATAATAGTTCAAGGTATTATGCTCGCTTTCCTTTGATTGCCTTCTATTATAAATGTAGTGTTTGTTATAGTATTTCTATTGGGAAAAATGTATTCCCACAAACATTTGGATCTGCTTGCCCACTACAAAGGATATACCACCTAAGTGAATTGGGATGCTATACACATTGAACTGAACTCCAGTATGGTTTAGTTTGGTGGGTCTATACACAGTGCAATTGCTGTAGAATATACTTCAAGATTCTAAACACCAATAAATGGCTTAGGATTTAACCGTGCAATTTAGAAGATCGCTATGTACTGTACTCCTTTTATATTACTCTAAAAGGGCCGGTTACTTAAGTGACATATCTCATAGTTCTCCATACCCAAAACCACTTATTTCACTGCAAAGACGAGTACGACATGAAGAGAGTAGTAGTACAAAAGACCCATATCAAAAGGGCCGGTTACTTAAGAAAACTATGACACGCCATGCTTCCATGTCGGATTTGTAACTATGGCAACTGTGAATTGTCACCTTGCCACAGCAACAGGTTCTTGTACTCTATTCATTACTGCAACTTCTAGAGTTATAAATTATCTCTTGCTTTGACATAATTGTTCAGTTTTTCAGTGAAAGTCCAGAAGAACTCGAAATGTGAATGAAGTGAAGCATCATTACCTAGATCACTTAACCTTGGCTTTTGAGGAGATGGGGAGGTTGTTCATTTTTTCAGTGAAAGTCCAGAAGAACTCGAGATGTGAACGAAGTGAAGCATCATTACCTGGATCACTTGACCTTGGCTTTTGAGGAGATGGGGAGGTCAAAAAGGTGACATTAAATATTTTTTATTCACCTTCCTCTGTTTTGGTGTTCTCATCAATTTTGGATCTGGTCATTTAGACTTCCATGAGACTTACTATACTAAAAACCCCAATGTGATGACTTGAAAACGTGTTGCCAAAATAGTCCTTGGATGCGCCCTGTTCGTTTGGCTTATAAGCCGTACTTTTTCAGCCAACGAACAGTATTTTTCTCTCACAACAAATCAGCCAACAGTACTTTCAGCCATGGCTTATCAGCCAAGCGAACAGAGCAATTCTCCTTCCAGTACCTCATCGCCATAATTTAAGCGAGATTACTTTTGAGGTGTGTTTAATTCTTCAAGTATACATTCCCAGATCCACACACATTTGTAGGTGTGGCTCTTTCAGGGCTTACTTTGCAGACCGCGTTGCACATCTGCTAATTCTAAATGATACTTTAGGTGAGGTGATCCACCATTGCCGTGGACAGTGGACTACAGCAAAGGGAGACCCACTTTCTCCGGTGAAACAAAGTCAAATTCAGGTTAGCTCAGGGTCCAATACAACCTATATATGTTTGATAAGTAATTTAAATCGATCATGACGACCTTTTTTCATACCTAAACGGAGTGAAACAGTATATAGAAATGATGAGGCTTTGAATTTAGTCTTGTGCTCCAGTATTGCATTTCGTTCAAACATAGATGAACTATTTTGGTGTGTGTACAATGCCTGTCATTGTTGTGTTCGAAAATTACAAGCTCAGCAAACATGATACCTTCGATTCATCCAAAACTGGTTGAGTTTAGGCTGTGGCTCTTCACATCTCCAATCATTTTCATCTTCATATGTGCAACCATATTGGTAAATAGTGTTTGCAAATATGTAGGAAATAAAGAAATTTGTTCACAAAAACAGTAAGCACCAATATGCAATATTTAGCTACAGTGCAAATCTCACGTTTGTTTGGGTGGTCAACATGCTCTGATTGCATCATCTTTGTAGACTGAAACCGATTAATGGAGATTGAAACAGCCATTTTGATATTGATTTAGTTTTCCTATGCTAATAGAGAGAAAAAATACCATGGTTTTGCATATTATGATTGTGGCCTAAACTGCTTCTACATATTATCATACAATGTATTTATGTCCGTAAATGTTCGGACAAGTACAGGTGTGTCTGTGGCTTCCAAATGGTTGGTTATGCTATTAGATTACTCATTAGTAGGTTGCAGCTGTGCTAAAATTACCAGGTTTACAAAATGGAAAATACAGGAAAAAGAAGGGTACAACAGCCACCACACCGAGTGCATGTGCTACTATGAAATTCAGGTACAACACTCTTGCTAAAATAAACCTAAACTCAACACTCTTCCATTCTGTTTGCATACATCTAACATGCTCTGATATATGAACAGAATCATCGATGTGGCAAAGCACATCCTCATTCACCCGCGACCTCTTTGATCATATACCAACAGACCAGCATTCAAATATATAAAGCGTCTAACAACGCATGTAATACAAACACATGCACCATCCTCGGCTCTTTGCTACATTGAACATATGTAATATGCACATCCTCTATATATATCTTCCTATCTTATTACTTATAAGGCAACGTATATAACCTCCATATTCAAAATCTTGTTTGTGCCTGCCTACGCGCGCGCGTGCCCTCCACTAGTAAATCTTAATCCCAGTGGAATCTGTGTCTGCCTCTTCTTGTAGTAATTTTCATAGAATGCTCCCGAGGAATCCATGGATCCCTCCAGATCCTCACCTTTGACCCGTTGCCAATACGCCATATGATCCCTTTCTTGAGTACAATGAGTAGTTCCAGGCCGTACAACACAGATTGCCAAGTAGCTGAAGGGTTAGAGCAAAAAACAGTGTCAATGAGATCACCTCTTGGGTAGTACTGTGCTTTCAGCAATTGTGCGCACAGACTGTATGGAAATTGTGCGATCACTTGGCCATCACTTGTGCAATACTTCAGTATACAGTCTGTGCACACAGACCTCATTGCTGATCAATTGGCCATCACTTGCAATACTTACTAGTATAAGTTGCAATCTTCTTTTGCCTCGTCAAGCAGACCCAGCGAATATGCAGATACAACATACAAGCTGGCAAATCCTCTTTTGTCTTTCTTCACCCAAAATAATCTATTTCTACCCAAAACCGATGCGTACATCTTTGCCGTCTCGTACAATCCATGGGCAAAACTCCATTTCACCGGTCCGCCCCGACACGGCCAGGCGACTACAGCGACGTTGCCAGGCAGCCGTCCGTGCGAAAACCGCGTACCACCAGCCCGATTCGTTTGTCTTGTCCTCGGACAGCCGTCCTACCTGCCGCCCGGCCCGCCACTATATATACACGCCATAGCCATCTCCACCGCACCTCGATCGATCGATCGCTAGCTCTCAGTCACCTGCAAAGACAACTAGCTGCGCCTAGATATCAGGCAGCAAGCTAGTTAGCCATGAGCACCGGCACCATCCCCATCGTGCGATGCGCTGCCACGGTTAACACCGCCACCGTCTTTGGCCGCCGGAAGAGCCGTTTCAACGTGACAGCAACGGCGACGTCGGCGGGAAGGAGGGCCTCGGCGAGCAGGAGGGACTACTACAAGGTGCTGTCCCTGGAGCACCGGCCTGACGTGGGCGCGGAGGAGATCAAGCGCGCGTACCGGCGGCTGGCGCTGCGGCACCACCCCGACGTGTGCCCGCCGTCGCGGCGCGCTGAGTCCACGGAGCTCTTCCTCGAGCTGCGGCGCGCCTACGAGACGTTCTCCGACCCGGCGCGGAGGGTTCGGTACGACGCCGACCTGAGGACAGACGGCGGGGAGGTGGCGAGGCGGCCCGGCGGCGTTGCGTTTGCGAGGGACGTGTGGGAGTCCCAGCTGTGCGTGCTGCGCGCGCGCTCCGAGCAACGCCAGAGAGCGAGGAGCAGCCAGCCGCAGCGGCCGGTCTGATTGGGTGGACGCCGCGTGACAACAAAGTACTATAGATCCATGTTCTAATTCATTCTTTGATTAATGATTGTGCTTCAATAAAGCACGACCAAAGTGCCTTTATTTTTTCCTAATTCATTATTTGAATGACCTTCAGAGTTGAGACTCATCATGGCATCTGTTGTTTACTGGGATGTACTACATTTTACCGGCGAGGGATTTTTTTTTTTTTTTTATGAAACAGAAGACACTGGATCCCATTGAGGCTATAAGTTAGTGGATGCAAGAGCCTAGAGTGACACGTTCGCGTGAAGTGGCAAACCCTTAGCCCTTTGCAATGCATATTGGCGAATAATGCCATAATGGTGTGACCGTGTGAGGCCATCTTCCCGGTCAGCACGGGAAATCATTGGGTCCGAACGTTCGGACCTGAGACGCCGTCCGAACAGAGCGCGCGGGAAGCGGACGCGCACTGTTTCTCTTCCTCGCGCCTCCTCGTCGCGCTTGCAGCCCACGACGCGGCCCACAGCGACGCAGCCCAGAAGCCCATCAATATGTGACCCCGACCCGAGCACGCCGGCGCCGCCCTCGTCTCCATCTCCGGCAGCTCTCTCCCTCCCTCGTCTCCAACTCCAGCGGGCTTAGAAGGAAGGGGGTTGGGGGAGGCAGGGAAGACAGGCGGTGGAGATGGTGGTCGGGCGATCTAGGGGAGCTGGCGGCGGCTGCAGTGGCCGGGCCAGGCCTAGGGTGGGGGCATTTGCGGCGGCTCGCTGGTGAGCATGGCCATGGCGGTGGCGGTGGGAGTGGGGGCGGGAAGGGGAAGAAGGAGACCGCCGCGGGCACGCTAGGGTCTCGTCGGGCTGTGGGGGGGGGGGTAGCGGCGGGGGCGAGGGGAGAAAGATAAACAGTACCTAGGCCGCCGTGCCGTGCGTGAGGTGGGCCGCGAAGGGAGTGGGCTGAGCGGGAAAGGGCGAGGCGGGGAAGATAAACAGTCATCGGCGCGCGGCTTCCGTCCGAACGCCTGGACCGTAGCACGCTCCCATCAGCACTGTGTAACTCAAATACTCAATGCACAACGCACTCGCTGAGACGACCAAGGCGTGAATTATTGGAGGAAGGAAAGTTGCGTTGCATTCTTGGCACGAGCTCGGTTTTCTAACCTTCCTTTTTAAGAAAGCAGCGTGCTAGGTGGCATTATTGCAGAAACATGTCTTTGTGAAATATCGCAGAAATATGTTTGATCTATGCAAACGACGGTATCAAGGTTGACTATGAGAGTACAAGAATGCATGCCACAATGAGAAACGATCATTTATTGATGGTTATTGGAAATCTTATACTTGTGAGATACGATTGTTGCGTTAAAATTAATTAAAAGTAAAGGTAGGTCGGTAATCTTTGTTCATAGGTCACGGAGTTTACCTGATCTCGAATGCAGTAATAAACTTCCCGGACATTACAAACTATATATGCACCACGGTAGCCTCTCAATGCGCCCGGAGGTGGGTCCCTTGCCTGGATCGTCTTGGAGCCCCAGCTCTGCCCTCGAAGACGAACTGGGGGTGCCGGCGGCGGCGGCAGTGGCGTCAGGATATTCGTCGGCGTGGAAAGCACCCTCGAGAGGAGGACGCTGGCGATGGGTCGTCGGGCGGAGAGCTGGCAGGCCCACTTCGGGCGAGAGCCCACTTTAGTGCATGAGAGCAAAAAGGAAGGCATACAGGTTGCAATGTCAGGATCTGGCAGGCCACATACCTGGGCCATGCGGTTTGCTGGTAGACATGCTAGCTTTTGTGGCCAGGTCTGGCCTGTTGGGCTCATTTCCTATATTTTTCCATTTCTTCTATCTCGTACTCTTTTCGATGCACGCACATATGCATAAGTTTATTTTAATAGAAATATTACTAGATGGATATCAATCAATCAAGTAAAAACTCATAAGAAGCAACTCAGATATTTAATAAGCTTGAGATACATGATCTAAGCGTCCAACCCATAATTAAATTAGATTTAGTTATGGTTATGGTTTGGGCCAAACTCTGACTGAATAACCGCTAGTCTTGCAACGTAAAGACAAGTTTGATAATTGAAATTTTAAAAAAGAATGACCTCCTCCTTGAAATCTTCTTGCAAAAGGTTGTTCGTGTCTTATATGCAGTTCCTATCTTTTGGAGTATGTAGGGTTAGTTGCAGAAACCCTAATCAAACTTTCATCTATCCTTATCTGAGCTGATGTCTGATGATGACCCAGGCATCTTATAAAAATGATCGTTGCTAGATTAATATAATATATATGTAATCATACCTCTAGACCGAAATTCCGTTCTAGTAGTGCGGTATATATCCTCTAACTGAACATCTATTTGATTTTAATTGATCAGGAGTAACAATGTGCAAAAATCATCCAAATTCTGTACCACTTAAATTTTGTCTATTAGTATTAGCTAAAGCTATATCTAGATCGCGTCGACAGAGAAAGCATCACTTTATTGTGATTACAGTACCACATAGAAAATGTTCGGTGGATGCATTCAATCAGTCGAAGGCCGGCAATCTTTATTGATATCACGGGTTTGTTGACGTGATGATCTTCTAATTTAAATATGCGATGGTCGATATCTGAATTCTTCGAATTGAATGAGTCCATAGTATAAGACACAATACAAGATACGACACAACGCAAATCGGTTCCCAACTCACATTCATGTGTCTTTCTTTTAACACTTATGGTGCTTTAAATTAATTTGAGATGCCTGAAATCCGAGCGTCCACAAATTATGGCGCTCGTCCCCGCCGGTCTCTCGGCCGCCATGTCCAGCCCCTGCGTTGCTCTGTTCCCGTGCCTGCCTTCTTTGCCTGCCCCGTGCGCAGCCTAACAATTTTCTTTAGATTCTGTCCGTCATCGACACATCCATCATGAGTTCGCTCCTGCTAGGATTGGATGCGCTCGTTCGATGATTCTGAGGGAATGAGTCGGTCCCTGATTTTAGCCTGCCGGTGGAAAGACATGATAACGGACGAGTTGACTCTTTGGGTCAAACCAAACACCCTATTTAGGCTCGGATGGTTTCGTATGCTTGGGTTACGCAAACCAATCATGCTGTTAAAGGCTGGAGATGGAGAATCTTGCTGGAATTACCTGACGCTACTAACCCTGGAGCCTAACACATCCCTGAGAAGCTTCAAAGTTTCCGACAACTAAGGTATTATAGAAAATGAGTTAGATTAATGGTATATTATTCAAATGATAATTATGTTCAGCGTTTCTATCGCTGAAACATTGGCGATTGTACATGTTTATAAGGTGCCTTGGTAAAATTTTACAAGTTATATAGTAATTATTAGTGCAAAAGGCAGCGACATACCACAACGTTAGGATGCACGGATTGCAGCCAAATCAAAACATGAGTAACGGACCGTCTGGCATTGTTAAAACTGCACACTTCAGACAAAGGCCAGCGCAGCGTCCAGCAAGTGTATGCACCAAAGAACCGTTTGGCGTTATTGAAAACACACACACTGGACAAACAACAGCGCAACGCTTGGCGTGTGTATGCACCGGACCATCCAGTCGGTGAAAAAAATGCACATACCGGACAATAACATTGTAGCGCTGGAAAACATGTAAACCCTAGATTGAAGAAACGCACTGACCAGATCGTCCGGTGCCTTGATTTTCGCCAGGAAGATCTTCGAACATTGGCTCAGGAGACATAACTTTCATGCTTTCATGGTGAAGAGTGACTAGGTTTACAAGTAAACCAACAAGGGGTAAATATCATGCTTGCATGACAAAGAAAGACTAGTTTCTCACAAACTAGTAAATGAGCCATTGGAACTCTTTGACTGAGAGGACCCCGTGAGGACAGGGATGTTGGCAGCGGGTTGCGCTAGGTCAGCCTCCAAACCTAGAGTGCCATAGTTGCCTAGTTGGTCGTTGGATCAAGAGAGGAACAACAGCTCGGGGTTGGAAAAGTAGGGCAAAGGTGAAGATAGAGTGAAAATTAAATTTATTGATTGATTGGTACAATTGGATAGATCCCTCAAGTGGCCGTGGCCATTTGTGAGCTGCTTGGTACGCCCACTAGTAACGTAAACGAAACAAACTTAGTTCAAATCGTCCCTCCCACTGTAACGTCCGCGGGCATAATTTATTTGCATTTGCGATACGAACCTGACAACCAAACAGTTCGCTATATTTATAGGGTGGGAGATATATTAGGGAAAATCCAAATATATAACGAAAATAATCTCAAAATGAACTCAAACCAAACATATGGACCCCTTTGGATTGTGGGGAAAATAAAAAAATAGGATTAATATTCCTATGAATTCAGTTACTGTAGCTTGATCCAAACATATGGACCCTTTGTTCCATGAATCATCTATAGGAAAAACATAGGAAACTTTACATTGTGCTTGATCTCACAGGAAAACCATAGAAAAAAAAACATCCACTCAAACCTCATGTTTCTTGCTTTCTGTTTTTCCCTACGGTTGATCCGAACACCCATTTCTATAAAATTTCTGTATTTTCATTCCTCTATTTTGCATATGTACTCTATCTCATTTCTATGTTTTTTTATTTCTGTATTTTTTTAATCCTGCATTTCAAGGGGGCTAAAGTTGAGTCCATCTCAGACCTGGAAGAGAGAATTATGTATTTGGCACTGAAACAAATCAGTCTTTCTTATTTGGCACCAGAAAATTTTGTACTTATTTATCTGGCACTGAGTTGAAATTTTCTTCCGTAAATGGCACTACCGCCCATCTGGACCGATAACAGTATCAAGTGGCTGGCAAATTTACATGAATGCACTTGTTTCGCGCGCTAGCAGGCGAGGCCACCCTGCAACCTGGGTGACCCGTGCGCGACGAGCCGCGCTAGCTGCCGGAGCGCTAGCCGGTGAGCCCACCCCATCGTGTCCGAAGCGTCATGCCATTGCTGGAACACCGACGGGCAAAGCCCACACCACCACGCCCCCCGCGCCGCGCCGAGGGTGGGCACCAGTGCTGGTAGGCAA